ATATAGTGATTTACTAAGCATAGTTTAGATCTGGCACACAGCCGAAAGTATAGAGCACTACTCTGTCATAATTGATCTAGTAAGACAAGTTTGCTATTACACATTGTTGAAGTGCCCATCATGTTTAATGTAATCTATTTCAATCAGTAAAATATGATTTTATTTTATGTATAATGCAATCTTCACTTTATTCTGAAAAGAAGTTATTAAACATAGTTTTCAGTTTGTGTAATCCATTGTCTTATTTTTATAAGTTTCAGAAACCAGTGCAAATGCTCAACTTAGATTTCTTTGGATATTCATGATGCAAACATGAAAAATTCTGCCTTGAACTGCCCCAGTCGTATGTATAGAATAGTTCTTCATACAAAGTAAATCAGAATTGTAATTCATTATAACCAACTAAAAATAGTTGTATTTGCCAAGTTGGCCATTAATAAAAGGAGTCATTTTAGAATAGTATTACTGTACATAGCATTTACTTTGTTGGGTGTTAAATGGATAAAATATTATGTTTGTCTGGAATGACTACATTTCTAATAAACTCTGCAGGATTCAAATAAAAAAAGTTCAGCAAATTTAGATATTTGGGCCAACAAAATAAACTGAATGTTATAAGGACGGTTTTTCCATAGACACCACTATTATTTTAACTACCTTCACTCCTCAGCAATGATTATTGTTTGAAAAAGCTATGATTAGAATTGTAAACCTAAACATATGAAAGTGAATTTATACATTTTCTTTGTTTTTGGAAACTGACAACTGTTATAGACAAGCATATGGTTGCAAGAAAGAAATGCGACAACAGCAGAAATAGATTTATGTGATTTATTTCAATAGGAACGTGTGGGTTTGGGACAGCTACCTTGTGGTATAGTTCATAAGCCGGCTGCCGATCTGGGTTGATCTCTCATAGTTCTCACTGGTTGGCATGGCGCTCCTAGTGCTGACTGCTGCTAACCGCCGATGACTGCCCAGATTGACTGTGACAAATCTCTTCCCTGGCCTCCTGCTGACTGCTAGTACTTCCCCGTGTGACCCCCTTTTATGGCGTTTTTTATGGCTTAACATGCTCGAAAAACAACGCGAGTATAATTAGGAGGGAAGCATTTTTATTGGTCAAGAAATAGGAACACTTTAAAATATTATTTTATTTTTCGACCAGAACTCGTGCATCAGGCCTATGCGTAAACAACGATAATGGTCATTTTGTGACGGGGCCTTGTCCCATTCACATCCAGTATGTTAGTTTATTTGCCTGCAAATCAGCCGAGATATGTCTTATTTTATTTTATAACACAACAAAAATTACAAACACTATTTGATTATTTAGACTATTTATTATATTGTTTATTGGAATGGTTTGCAAAACATTGGCTAATTGCCAAATTGATTTGAACTTTATAAAATGGTAAGTAATAAGTATTTCCTTATAATTGGTTCACATATTTTAATTATTTAGTAAATAAATTAAGAATAAAAATTTTCAACATTTATTTCTTTATAAATTGATAAATATTGCATTGAATTAGTTTTTAGGTCATAAATATAAAATTATTCTTGAAAAGAAACAATCTTATAAATAGTGTTTAATATTTTTGTTGTAAATTCTCAAGAACGAAAAATTGTATAAATTCACTTTCATTATGTTTAGGTTTTATTGCAATTTTTCATCACCGATTTCTAAACCAATAAACATTGTCAAGGTAGTTAAAATAATAGCAGCATCAATGGAATAACTCCTAATTAAAACAAAATACACTGAATAAATTTTTATTGTGCCATATTTTAAATAATTTTCAAATACACTGAATAAAATTAATAAATATTTTCATTTGCATAAGAATTTCTTTTCTGTTAACCAGTATATAGTTTATTCAAATCAATTACAGATAAGTTTTGCATAAAGTAAAATTTTAAAAACATTTTCTTAATAGAAATTGAAGAATTTGTTGGCATGGCAGCTGCTTAAGTAACCAAAATGATCACCAACAAAACCGCCTACTGTCAAGATTGGAATGGTTGATGAAAGATCTTGTGTCAACAATGGAAAAATAAATTAGTCTATGTCAACAGCTACAGCAAGTAACATGTGTAGTTGACAGATACAAAAAAAAAAAGAATTTCACCCCAATGACAAGTCACAGAAACATAGTATCTTAAATAATGGCATGGTAACAAACAAAAGAGTATTGAACTATTATGCAATATCAGTTCTCCTATATGGAAGTGAATGCTGGATAATCGCCTCACAGATGAAAACAGAGACTTGAAGCAACAAAAATGTGGTTCTACAGAAGTATACCGAGAATACCATGAACTGAACATGTGAGCAATGACAAAGTTTTAGAGAAAATGGAAACAAAAAACGCACTTACACTTAACATCAGAAAGAAAAAAATTAACATTACTAGGGCAGATAATGAGGAAAAAAAGGCTTGAAAAATTTAATACTCACATGACAGATTGAAGGCAAGAAGAGAGATGAAAATAATGCATAACCTACCTAGCAAGTTTGAGTAAATGGATAATGGAACAAGGTCAAGGAGAGATAGCAAAAAGACAAAATTTATTAAGAGCTACAAAGGAGAGGAAAGAAGAAGAATGATCAACAGCATCTTAAACTACTATACTGTCCAAAAAGAAAACACAGTAGTAGGTATATATAAGCATGTGCACATACTTATACACACACATAGAATAGATAGACATGGAGTAAAGAAAGAAGAAAGAAACAGTGATGAATAAAAAGAAATTGTGGTAGATAGAAAAAAAATACTGATAGATAAATGGTAATATTTCCCTAAAAATATTTGGCATTCATTGACTGAGCCACCAGTGTTGTTTGTGATTGAAATTTATGAAATCTTTCTCTTAAAACAATTTTTTTAAGAAAACAGGTTTCTCAAGTCCAGTTATTGCTCTTTCCAGTATTGATGGGGGTTTCCTTCCTAACTTTTTATTTGAAGTGGTGTGGAATGTTAAAATCCGGATTATGTCATTATTTTCACTTTCAGTTACATGTGCTATGCATTTTAGTTGGTGCTGCTGTTGGTAGTCTTCAAGTGATGTGCTTTCTATTATTTGGTACAGTTCTTTGTCTGTGAATCTGTAGCACCAATCCATAATGTTCAAAGAAGAATGATCTTTGCCAAGACCTTCAAGGTTTAATTGCTCAAAGATATTTTTAAATATTGATCTTAGAAAGTGGTTGTATACAGCTGACAGTTTAGACATTCATGATGGGGTCTGGCACCATGCATGATATCCATCTGAAAGTCTTGTTCTCTCAATGGTTGTTTAAGAACATGACTTCAATTTTCAGGTTGATGTTTTGGTTTTGTAGCAATTTGTGGTGTTGTGGGAAACTACCTCTGGCACAGCCTATTCTATGTTCAATTTGTTTTACTCCTATATTTAATTTGTTATGGATATAGAAAAACAAGGCAGTATCAATAAATTCATAGCCTAACAACTGTTATTAACTAAATTTTAACATGAAAGTTTCACTGTATACAAAGATGACAAAAGAAAATGCTATTTTCAGATCTAGGGTGGAAAGATTCCCACCTCCAACAAGCTCTTTTACAGTAGACTACTAGTAGCTACTGTGATATTTGAATTTAAACATATTTTTCTCTTAATATACAAAAGAAAGAAAGCATCTTTTTTATAAAAAAAAAATGTTTTCAGGTATAGCTTTCCCCTCCTCCCTGACCCATTTAAAAAAAAATCATAAATCTAAAAATAGGTTAAATCCATACACTTTAAAATCTGGGTGCATTCAATAAAAACTTATTTCCACTTTATTATGGTTTAGACAGTTTTCAAAATATCTATATCATTGAAAAGAAAGTGGATTTGCAGAAAATCTGATGTAAAAAGTATTTTTAACCTTTTTAGAGAAACAGGGTTATGTACATTTAAAATCTATGTTTACATTTTTTAAATATATCTGTGCCATTGCACCGTTTTCAAGACGAGACAGATTTTCGAATGTGTGTTTGCAGTTCAGAATTTTCAAAATCTATTAAGATTCAACAAAAACTTAATGAAATTTTCAGTATTTAGTTTTTAAATTCTGATTTAATTTATGAAAGAGTTACTTTGAAAAAATATTATGTACATTCACTATAATTTTATTTTACAATCTCTAATTATCAGTTAGTCTGTAAGGGCTATTCATCAGTATAAATACACAATTTAATATTGTTATTGATACCTCATTTTAAAAACATAATTGAAATATTTAACATAAAATTCATGGATTTTTTTCTTAGTTTTGCTAAAAAAAAAGATTCATAATATTAGTTAAGCAAAAAAAATGATTTTAGGTTGTAGCAAAATTTTTTAAATTGTTTCAAATTCTACAGGGATTTATTTAACATATAACAGTTTTACCTGCTAAGTAAATAGAACCTTGAAAGATTTTAAAATATTTTTTTTAGCAGAAACATTTAAAATTGGTCTTTTGTCTAAACAATTAAAATTTTCTCAAGATTTAAAAAAATATCTAACCTATGTATAAAAAAAACAAACAAAATTTCAGATTTGCAAAAGTTCTGTATAATGTCTAAGGTATATGATTAATATTCACACCTGAATTAAATGTACTGACAAGGATAAAGATTATGTTAAAAAAAAAAAAATTGTTATACAATTTTTAATTGTGTGTGTGTGTGTTACAAGTCACTAATAGAGAAGTATTTTTATTGATTGATTCATTCATTTTTTACAACTTATCAATCCTTTGCGGGTTATTTAAAGCCAGAAAATATTCTTAGGTTTTAAGAATTTTTTTTTTTTTTTGATAATAATGATTTTAGTGATACACGTCTTACTTTATAACCCATATCTGTGCGAGAAGAGGTGGCTTCATACCTTTTCCAAGGGTATTTGCATGTAAGTGAATATAATAAACCCAACAGGAATTGGAACTCAGCTCTTCGATTAACAATTTTGAACCATTATCCATTACACCACCTGCATATACAAACTTACAGCACCTGGTATTCCCAAGCAGTCATCCATCTAGGTACTGAACAGGCTCAACATTGCTTAACTTTGGTGATCGTACAGGAACTGGTGTTTCACCATGATCTGGCCAAAAGCCACAGTTTTAATTGGATTAAACCAGCTAAGTAAAATAATAGTTAAATTATTTTAATTAAAAGCAATAATTAAATTACTAATACTTCCCTAATTATATATTTCACTAATTGAACTGCATTTAAGGTTTAAAAGAGAAAAATAAACATGAATTGCACACTCATAGAAAAGTCTTATTAACCCACTTATTGAACAAAGAAGAAAAAACCCTTGAAAAAAATCTAAATCATTAGTCTCCAATCTTAATGGCAAGTCTACTTGTGCTTTTAAAAGTATCTCTTAGGAGAGAGTATTTCACCAAGATTTTCATATAAAGCAGACAAATAGATTATCTTATTGAATCATTGCTAAAAATAAGTTCAACATATGGAGTGTGCTGAAGGTAACAGTTTGAAATAATATTTTCCTCAAATAGTTATCAATGAAAAAGCAGAACATCCTGTCAGCTTATCCAGCACTTATAAAACATTAAAAAAATTTTTTAAAATGGTTCCAGATTTTTCTGATAAGGAATCACTGTCAGCTTGTGAACTACTTGAGCGTATCTTTTTTTTATCAAAAATTTGTCCACAGATAATCACAGGTTTTCATATTAACAAATGTGTGTGTATGAAACAAGAACCTTGTACTGCACTGTAGATATAATTAAAAGAAACTTCAATCAAAATATTATAAAAACATTGACCAAATAAGCTTTAGTTGATTTTTTTTTTATTTAGACTAAAATGGAGCTTATGGTTATCAGTAGTAATTGAAGTACTCAGTTAAATTATTAATTCAGATTATGAAAAATGTTTTCTTAATCATTTCATCCCAAACAAGGCAATAAAGTCATTAAGACACAAGGGGTTACTGAGTGCAAAAGAATATGATAAAAAGAAAACATTATGGAGAGAGAACAATAAAAGAACAGAAATTAAAAAAACTGAAAATAACGACTGACATTGCATTTAAATTTTGAAGATCAAAGATGACTGGAAAGCAAGAAACCAGAAGAGAGTTCCACAAGAGAAGAAAAAAAGAAACTGTTATCAGAGAACTTACAGTTTTATGTCTAGCCATTTTAACTGTAAAATGATGATGCATTGCAGCCAATCTAGTACTGAGCTTAAATTCATAAGGTCTAGATACCATAGAGGAAAGTTCATCAGAACAATTATCATGAAAAATTATCACAATAGCTATAAAAGTTATTTAATGCTAGACTTTCTCTTTGCAACTATTGTGACCCTCACACTTGCATTTTTTCTAAGTTTGATGAACAATTATTTCTAATAATCACATTGGGTTTGGTAGAATGTTGCTATGAAAATATTTTCTTTTTAAATACATTCAGTATAAGAACTAATTGTGAAATCAGTCAAACATTTCCCTCTGTTCAAATCTCTAAATACATAGCAGACATGCCAGACCAGAGGTGGCAGTAATATCCAATATCAGGACGAATGGTAAACTTATAAATGTGTAAGATAGATTCTAGTGAGAAAAATTGTCTAGCACAACACAGTGAAACAGACTTTTTAACAAGATACCTAGCAATTGATTCAATATAGTCTTTTCACTTCATGTCAGCAGAAAATGTTAGCCTGAGAAGACATGAGTCACTCTCCTGGAGATTAGCATCAGCCATGCTAATGGAAGGCAATAAAGGTTTTCTAAGATGATTAAAAAAGAGCAGTTTCGTTTTGGAGGCGTTAAAATTAACATGCCATTAAGTGTTGAGGAATGTTATATTATGGCAGTAATAAACAAGTAGCTCCTCTAGATTTTAACCTGGAAATGGTAATCATGGAATTAACCGTTTCCATACAGGAAATATTCAGCATCTATTGACCAAATCATTAGTGTTACTGGCTATTAAAATTTATAAGATCTTTTTCTTTAAACAATTTTCTTAAGAAATTAGACTTCAACTCCATTAACTGTTATCACTTTTTCTAGTTCTGATGGGAGTTTCCTTCCTAACCTTTTGTCTAAAGCTGTGTGGAAAGTCAACATCTTCATTATGTCATTATTCCCCCTTCTAGTTACATGTGCTATCCATTTTTGCTGAAGCTACTTTGATTTTTAATGCCATTCTATAGGGTATGACGAAGTATAATGATCTTTAAAATTTATAGGATATATTCTTTTGAAGCCATTTTTAATGATTGATCTGAAGAAAAGGGTTGTATGTAGATGATAGTTTAAGCACTTCTAAACAAGTTCAATGCCATACATGACATCCACTTTAGAATCTATTAGTAATAAATTGATTCATTTTCTACAGCTTATCTATCCTTTTCAGGTTATTTAAAGCCAGAAAACATTTTTGATTATAAGAATATTTTTTTGAGATAATAATGACTTAGTGATACAAGTCTTACTAATTAATCCATAGCTGGGGGTAGAATAGGTGGATTCATATCTTTTCCCAAGAGTATAAGTGAATATAACGAACCCAATGGGAATTGGAATTCTACTCTCTGATTAACAATTCCGTGCCATTATCCATGACATCGCCGGCACATCCGAGCTTACAGCACTTGGTATTGCCTAGCAGTCACCCATCCAGATATTGACCAGGCTTGATGTTGCTTAATTTCAGTGATTGTACAAGAACTGGTGATTCAATGTGATATGGCTATAAGCCATTAGTAATCAATGAACTCAGATAAATTACAAATTCAGATCAACAAAAATAGGTTCAGAAGAATGTTATATTATAGCAGACACATTACTATGCATTGTAGCCTACCTACAGACGATAATGGGTATGTCCCCATTCACATAAATACAGTAGTAAATACTGTATGTTGGTCTCCATTTGGAGATTCATCACCAGCTGTGCTGGTCAAACTTTCTGCCTCTGGGCAGAGAGGATCCCCAGATGAGTCTATGTCAATGGGCAGAGTCTCATCTCAGGAAAAAGTTACCAGACCTCATTTTATACAGGGTCTACAGGGATAACCCACATTAAATTTGGCCTTGTGTCACATCTGACTTTGTGGGGCAGTTGGTAGATATCCTGCAGATGGAGATTCATTGTGGAATTTACTTCACTCACTTATAGCAGTTGGCTACTACTTCCACATGCCACTGGTAAATCTTATATGTGTTGTTCATTGTCCTAAGTATTATCATTCATTACGAACCTTTGTGTGATTATTCTATTCAATAACCTTCCCTAGATTACTATAAAAAAATGGCAACAATGCAAATGATGAGGTTCAACAAAATAAATCTTTTTTCTTATAAACAACAAATAAGTATGAAACAGAAACAAAAACAAAAAATATGTGACAAGACTTACCTTTGCATCATCAACATCAGGTTTCCACCCACTTGCAGAAGGTCTCAATTTAATAGGGCCCCTTTCAAATATATTGCCAAATCCAACCCCTTTGATTTTCTTCCCTTTTGTTTCAGGATCAGTACTGATATCTTTCTTTTCTGGTTCATCTAAAACAATAATAAAAATATGTTTTAAGTAAAAAAAAAAAAAAAAAAACGATTAATATTATTTGTATTGGTACAGAAAAATGTAAACAAATAATTGAAAAAAGAATCTTTCAAAATCTTTGATTGTTACAATTCTCTATTCACATTTTCATAGCATCATTGCCTGACTGTGCTGGGTCGTTTTTGGGAAAAACAGAGAATTGCTATATACTAGAATTAAACAACACTAAAGACACTGAAGCTGATTTCTAATGAATACCATGATTTTGGTTTCAATCAGATACTCTGCAATACAGACAAAGATGAACAACACCCCAATACACAATATAATAAAAAACATATCACAAAACAGGTTGTATCGTACATTACTATATGTCTATGTTAGTTTTGAAATAGCACTAAATGCCAATTAGTTTTAAGACAAATTCTAAGGCCAGACATTTCACAGTTTTTATATATATATATGATAAAATATATATCTATGAAGAAAAATATATACGGAAAAAAACAAACAAAAATCCTTATCTGCAATTATGCTGTTTTAATGTTAAAACAGCATAATTGCATATAAGGATTTTTGGTTGTTTTTTTTTTTCGTATATATTTTTCTTCATACTGTCGGATCTATATCCATATATTTGCTTACATATATATCTATCTATGATATGATAAAATATACTTTTAAGGTATGCTATATTTTAGGGTTAAAGTGATAGAGTGTATGCAAATATAAAAATGGACACTGAAGTTTATACCCAGAAGTGACAGTCTGTTGCATACTAAATGCAATTGTTGAAAGTGTTTTGTGGATTAAAATTTAGAAGTGGTGATTTCCGCTAAAAAAAATAAGAAATACTAATATAACCTTTTTATAATCAAATTTTGAAATATTCCTGGATCGTATAGCATGCAGAATAAGTATGGGTGTAAAATGATTTATCTGAAAATATTACCAGTATATAATATGGAAAAAAAAAAAAATAGAAATAGTGGACGATTACCAGACAATTCTAAGCCTGAAACACAATACTGAAGAAATTCAGAAAAAAGAATGTGCATTAGTACAAGCAAAGGACAAATGTACAAAAAGGAGAATAAGTCCTGGTTTCAAATGTGGTAAATTGCATCTTGGAAAAGACTGTCCATTTAAAAATGCAGAATGTTACAAGCATGGTAAATGAGGACATATAAAGTCACAATGCAAAACCAAACCAAGAAAAAATTATCACAGGAAGAAATGCGTACAGAGCATTGCGACAGAAAAAATGGTCACAGAAAACAAAAGAAAATTTGTGAATGTGAAAATGCTACTGGACACTACTTTCAAAAACCACATGGAAGGAAATTGGAAAAGCCTTTATTAAAAAAAGACTTCCAAAGTCATGATTTCAGTTTCTGATGAGTAATCATTTTTTTTTTTTTTTTTAGTAATGATTTGCAATGTCTCATTCCATAATAAGCATGTAAAAAAACTAAAGCTTATGTATTTAAAAAATGCTGCAAATTTATTTGGTACTAACTGGATGGAACTATTTGAACTTTAGGATTTGCCAATAAACTTTTATTGTAAAAACATAATTAGACAAACAGCCAATTTAAAAAGTCTGAGCAAAAATATTATGAAAGAATTAAAAAATGTTTTCCAGATGTTCTGTCAAATGAACTGGGTTGGTGTTCAAAATTCAAGGCTGATTTTTAAATAAGAAAAGGTTCAATGCCAGTATTTAAGCTGAAACAGAATGTACCATTGGAACAAGTCAATGAAGAGTTGGACAGGCTCAGAAGAATAGGTGTAATAGAAAAAATTAACCATTCAAAATGGGCTGCAACAGTGGTGTATGTAAAGAAAAAAATAATAAAATGTGTGTTTGCACAAATTTCTCGACAGGATTAAATAGTTGTTTTGAAATATATATAATCCAATTACAAAATCAAGAGGAAATTTTTCAAGTTAAATGGAGGAAGAATATTTTCAAAGCTGGATTTCTCTGCAGCGTATTTACAAATTTAAATTAAAAATCAATGTTCTGAATTAACCATCATAAATATGCACAGAGGATTATATAAGTTTAACCAACTTCCTTTCGACACCAACTATTTTTCAACAAGAAAAAGAAGAAACAAAGTAAATGGGTTCCACTTGAACTTATAGAAAGCAACATAGGTCAGTGTTTAAACATTTGTCTTTCTCTTCTTGTTCAATAGAGAAAAAGAAGAAACAAGGTAAATGGGTTCCATGTAAACTTATAGAAAGAGACATTGGTCAGTGTGTGACACTGAGGCTGTGAAATGGTTAAATTTTAATTCTAAGCAGAAAAAGAGTTAAACCCAAAATGAAATATAAACTAAGAGATAGATAGAAGGGTAGACATTTTCCCTGGTAATGTGGAAGTGAAAAAAGACCATCTGGATTGTCTCTCTCTGCTACAAATTGGAACAATGCATCAAGAGTTTTATTTATATATATATATATATATATATATATAAAAGCTGGCATGCAGATAAAGCAAATAGGGAAATGGCTTTATCTCTTTCTTGGGAAATTAGAAAAACACATGTTATTGGCAAGAAGGAATACAGACAGGAATTATATTTTCATTGGCGAAAAAGAATCGAGAAATGAAAACAGGGAATTAACCCACTGTGTTGTTTAGGATTATTAAAATCGATCCTGTCATGATGGGAAGGTGGTCTGGTTTATGTTTTCGCTAAGACAGCAATTGGTCCAAGGATGGAGAACAGCTTGTCTCTTTGTTGAGAATTTCAGTAAACATATATATTTTCATTGACAAAAACAAATTGGAAACTAATTTTACCTATCATTCAAAAGGTTAAATGATAACACTGTGGTCTGGTTTGTGTTCTCACTGGACAGAGGTAATTCTAGAGAAGTGGAAGGGAATCAGAGAATTGAAATTAATGATGAGAATAAATTACACCCTTTTGCTTATGCACTTTAAAAATGAGATTTGTGACAAAGATAGTTATGCCAGCTCTGAGAGGTGGGTAGAGTTAGAATACCGATGAGGAAGAATCTAGCACCACCTGTGTGGAATGATGGTATGAGATGTGAAATGAAGGAGGATGGAGTTAGGGGAGGAGCAATCCTTGTGACTACTCCCAAGAAGGTGGATAATTCTCCAAATTTGGAAAGTTGATTAAGAAAGCAGAAATAGGGAACAAAGGAAAACCTTTATTGGGATTAATGTGAAAATTGGCGAATCACCGAATCCTTCAGCTCCATGCCAGTTTTGGGCTGAAGTGCATATAAGCCAATGACTTTGGAAGCTCAGAAACCTTAGCCAGAGAACTGCATTGAGAGACTGAAATCCATGTCCACTGTCACCAGATTTCCTGATTCTAAAGAACTTTGAACCCAGCTCCTCCAGAATTTTAGACAAGGTCCAAAAGAGACTGATGCAGGTAGGGTTAATTTCTATTGTACCAAGCCTATATAAACCAACTGAAGATTAACCCCTCGAATCTTTTGTTTTATTTTTCACCATGAAGATATTTTTATTATGACAACATTCAATCTTCTATTGATCTGAGATCAAGAACACAACATAGGCAGAGTTGGTGTGGGTCAAAGCAGCCAGCACTGACCAGCACAGAGTTAGCCCTGTGGTTAAACCATCATCCTAAAACCCTGAGGACTAGACCACTAAACAGGGTTACACCAACAGGTGTAGGTGGCAACAAAAGGAAGTATTACAAGTTTTTAAACACTTGTCATTCTCTTCTTGTAAACAGGTTCCATATGAACTTATAGAATGGAGCCTAGGCCAGTGAATATACACTTCTTTCTCTTCTTGTTCAATACATTTTGTTTTGTTTAATGGATTCATTTAACTTTATTAAGATTAAAGAAAACAGAAAATATTTTATCATTAAAAACAAAACTATGACTCTTTGATTACTATATCATTGTACTCACCATTGAGCCATAACATCTATATGCAACATAAATAAATGTATGCCAAAAGCTTTCTATTTGTCAAACTGTTTTAATTACAGCAATTTCATTAATATTACTCTTTTACAGCATATACAAATCTCTCAAAGAAATGACTTCATAGCCTGTGTGTGTGTGTATATATATATATATATATATATATATATAAACAATTATCATGCAAAGAAAAAAAAAAACATGTTCTAAAGAGTTTTACCTGTTTTGACACTTTTTTCTTTCTCCTCATCATCTGGATTTTCACAACTTTCCACAAAATTTGAAGGAAACAATCCTGTTTTGCCATTTAGCCGACCCTCCCACCAGCCTACTTCAACCTGAAAAAAAGGCAAACATAAAAATATATTTTTAACAGTCATGTCCTGAATAATAAATACACACACAAAATCCGTGATGTTCTGTTTAGTAAAACAACAAAAAAAAAAAAAACCTCAAAGAACTGCAACATTTTGTACCCTCCAGTTAAAAATACAGTGCTACTATTGCCAAGTGGTTTTTGCTTAAAATCAAGTGTCAGCAAGTTTCAACTCACCAGCACTCTCCTCAGTATTCATACTGATTAAATAATATTTTCATTTGGGTGTTTCCAATTCTTTCTTAGATTTCCAAATTTTGTACTATTTTTGAGAAACTCTTCAGGACTGTTCCAAGTGTACTTGTAATGATGGGTACTACTGTCATCTTTACATTATAAAATGTTTTTTCCAGTTCTCTAGCAAGTTCCAGGCTTACAGTTATAACAAAATGAAATACTAGTTCTCATAGTCACTAAAGTTAAGCAATATTGAGCCTGGTCAGTACCTAGATGAATGACAACGTGGAAGTGTCAGATGCTTTAAGTTTGGATGTGCCAATGGTGTAATAGATAACAGCTTAGAATTAGAGATCAGAGAAACAAATTCGAACTTATTATATTCACTTATATGCAAATATCCTTGATAAAAGGTATGAAGCCACCTCTTCTCCCACCCAGTTATGTCATAATTAGTAGAACTTGTATCAGTAAATCATTATCCACCCACCCCCAAAATTCTTACAATTTAAAATTATTTCATCGTTTTAAATAACCTGCAAAAGGTTGATAAGCTTTTTTTTTCGGGGGGGGGGGGGACAAATTAATAAATCAATCGAGCAAGTTCCAGATATTTATCCTGCTTTTCATACTCTTTCAGTTTTCCAGTTAACCACAGGAACATTCACCATCTCCCAGATCTCACTTTCTTTGTTCACCATAATTAGCATATATACTAGCGTATCATGCATCTTTTGAAGACCTAATTTTGAAGCTAATTTGACTACAGTAAATGGATATATAACTTGGTCAACGACATAGCCAGGGCCAGCAGTGTATACGCTAATTTTATATCTCATGTATGACGTGATCCCCTTAAAATTAAGTCATCAAAAGTCACATTATATGTGACTATATAGAGTAGATTAAGTCTCTTGGTTTTTATTAATGATTTGTTTGAATTTCAAACTTAGAGAATTTTATGTTTTCTGTTCTTTTGAGCTGTTTCTGACCACCAGTCTGCAGTTTGCATAATTCTCAGCCAGTCAAAATTCCTGCCCAGTTATCCCTTTTTGTCTTTCTTCCTAACACTTTCATAAATAGTATACAAAAGAAAAGATCTGCTTAGAATGAAGTAGTGATAAATTTTATATCTATTTTCATTTGAACCAAAAATTTCATATTACAATATTGTGATGGCCTGTACAATTTTTTTAATCATTTCACCCCCAAGCAAGATAACAAGGCTGCTAAGTTGCAAGGGGTTAGTGAATGTAAGAGAAAGTGAGGAAAAAAAAAACATTATTAAGACGAGAGAACAATAAAAGAACAGGAATTAGCGCAAAAGAATAATGATTGACATTACATTTAAGTTTTTGAAGATAACTGGAAAGCAAGAGGTTGGAAGAGAGTTCCAATAACTCAATCTTTACTTGATAGACTTTTTCAGCAATAACCATTAATACATCCTCAGTTGAGCCAGAGAAGCAAAAGTTATATTACTTATTTGAAAGAAGATCTGAGATGCTTAAGCAGTTCAGAATTGATCAAAACCTCTAGTATTTTGCCAAAAAGAGGAGAAGGCTAACAGACTAATAAAAGGATCAGATGGTTCATCTGAGTTCTTAAAGACTATAGAAGAGGATTTCTAACAAGTAGGAGAGCAAGATGTGGTATGTTTCTAAGAATATCAGTTTTTAATATTATAATACTCAGAAATTGCAGATTTTTATTTTTTTGAAGTAAACACAATAATGATAAGGATACTAGTCTAAATAACTCAAAATTTCTCAGACAAGAGAAATGTCATTCAAACTGCAAAATTCATTTAACTCTCTATATGCAATTTTCTCCTTCATTTACTTTATACCTTTTAAACATAGGAAGGCCATGTTTAGTACATTTTTGTCTGTAAGTCATTGCTATTCTGATTCTCAATGAATATTCCATATACCATCCTTTTTTTTTTTAATTTCACCCAAAGCAAGGCAGTAAAGCCTCTAAGACAAAGGGGTTAATGGCTGTGGAAGAATTAGAAAACAGAAACATTACTAAGGAGCAAGAACAAAAGAAGAGCAATCAAGAGGATACTAGATTGCATTTAAATTTTTGCAGGTTAAAGTTGACTAGAAAGCATGGAGCCAGAAGGAAGTTCCACAAGTGCAAGAAAAGAAACTGTTAGCATAGAACTTACAGTTATTTCAAGCCAACATAACTGCAAATTGATGAGACCTCATCACCAGTCTAGTATTATGCTTAAATTCAAAAAGTCTAGGTACCATAGCAAAAAGCTCATATGATCAATTACCATGAAAAGTATTTATAGAAAAAGGCACAGGGAAGCAATTTTACGACAGTGAAAAAATGACGGGTTGTGTAATAAACTTCATTTTTTTTTTAGCATAGGTATATACATAGAAAAACTTTTATGTTGCCTTCTGCTTTCAATACAGAAGAGAAAGAAAGGATTAATTGCAACCTTCATGCACCTCAGTAAGAACCAATTAATCAATAAAAGTAAAAAAAAAAACTACATTACTATTCTCATATGTTGAAATCTTGTTCAATTCCAATACATTAAGAGAAGCAATTGTCAGGTGTATTATAAGAGAAAAATTTTATTACTATCAGAGAAGTCTTCAGATATTACATCCTGTTTTATTTCCAAAACACTTTGAATGCAATGAACATTATCAATAAACCAGTATAGTTGGGGTCAAAGTTAACAAAACTTATCACAGACAAAACAATATACTGAATGGACAACTGACTATCAATAATAAAGGAAGTTAGCCAGACAATTCATCTAAATAAAAACTAAATCAGAGACATTATCTGATTTAGATAACATGTCAATCAAAATATGAAAACAGAACAAATAAACACATACAAAATTGCATAGAATCTATGCTTTACACATGCTTATTGTATTCAATGGAGGAGGTTCTTTTTTTGAAAAATAGGTTGCTTTTTATCTTTCTTTTCCATGCAGGACACAGACTTCCTTATCAAGATAAGTGATGAAATACTTTTATCATTGTCAAGCAAGGTGACAAATAACGTTAGAAATAATTCATTTGAACAGAGGAAAATGTTTAATTGATTTCACAATTAATTCTTATACTGAATGTATTTAGAAAGAAAATTATTTTCATAGCAACATTCTACCCAACCCAATGTGATCATTAGAAGTAATTGCTCATCAAGCTTAGAAAAAAAGGATAGGGGTCACAACAGGTGCAAAGAAAAGAAGTCCAGCATTAAATATCTTTTATAGGTATAATGGTAATTTTTCATAGTAATTGTTTTGATGAACTTTCCATAATTGTACAGAGACTTTATTAATTTAAATGCAGTACTAGATTGGGGGCAAGATTTCATCATTTTACAATTAAAATGGCTAGATCTAACCATAAATTCTGCACTAACAATTTCTTCTCTCACACTTCTTACTTGTGGAACTCTCTTCTGGCTTCTTGCTTTCCAGTCATCTTTGAGCTTTAAAAATTTAAATGCAAAGTTAATCATTGTCTTCTGCCTTTTTAATTCCTGTTCTTTTATTGTTTTCTCTCATATTCAGTAACCCTTTGTGTTTCAGTGGCTTTATTGCCTTGCTTGTGTGTAAATGATTAAAAAAAATAAATATATAAGCAAAGCTTATTCCCTTGTCTTTTATTTCATTTTATTTTTCATCCTTCCCTCTCCGTTAGTGAGTGTGCTTCTTGATTTTGTCTAAAGGCAGAATACAGCAGCCACTTTTATTATTTTTCTGGGGTAGTTGGATCCTACTAACTTCTATGATGTTCAATTTGAATGTTTTTTTATACTTTAGTTTCATTTTCTAGATTCATCTCCTCCATTTTCATTACATGGGCATATTTTTATATAAATTAAAAAAAAAATGGAAAAAGAAACATTTGAACTATTTGTACACATTGAAATTTTATGTCATGGTTTGTTTTTTTTTTTAGGTTCCCTGTAAATTTGTAGTATTGTGGTATATATGTCGTATTGAATGTTGAGGGATGGTGAATGAGCAAATTGTAATGAATGAATGAATGGGCCGTGAATCAGATTAACTAGGTCTAGGAGAGAAAATGTCGACCAGCCTTTCTCCATTTCCCCTTTGGCCTTGTGCTACAATTGTTTTAATTAAAACAATAAAAGATATAGTGCATACTAGTTGAACCATAAATTAGCTCTTGCTTTCATACACATACTAACATTGGGCACCTACTATGACATCATAATTAAAAGTTATCTCATTTGATCCTTATTGGATTCCTTGATTACTGTAACCTTGTGCCAGATTAAACAGAGATTAATAAATAATTATACATATTCACACACACATGTATCAATATTCACACAAATACACACAAATCATCAGTATAATGAAGCAAAACAAGACAAATAAAATTATGAATAATAATAATAATACAACTGAAAAAAATACATGAAAATGACAAGAATTTAATCTGCTTTTCCAAGATAACAGAACTTCTGCCAACAAGCACACAATAGATAACTAGAGTTGAAACAAATCCCATATTTATACTCTTTTGGAAGGAACACTAATTCTAACTTGCAAATTTGAAATTTTTTGTACGTCAGAGTTTTGTTAGTAACTTCACATGATTTAAATTTAAAATCACTAATTTTTTTAATTTTATATTTATATATATATATATATATATATATATATATATATATATATATATATAAATAAATAGGTACCTCCACTTTTTCAGTATAAATTTTCAATACCTAGAGTTTAGAGTGAATTTTTAAAAATGAAAAAGAATT